TATATATATATATATATATATACTGCAAGACTTAAACTTTTTTTTTTAAGTTTAAGTTTTCGGGATGGAGAGAGAGACAGTGAGAGGGAAAGTGAGAAATCACCTCCCAGGGAGATAGTTACACTGCAATCCCTTCTCTTCTTTTCTCCTCCACTCTCTTGGGATCTTGGGCATACATGTACACATGTCTAGTGTGATTCTGAAGCACTGTGTCTAGGTCAAACTACAGTCAGTCATGTGAGAGTCTAGAGACATGATCCCCATTGGGAGAAGGGTGGTAAAATCTCCAACTATCTGGTCACAAAGATCTCATGTTATATGATGCTATTTATGTGGAATGTCTATGATATGCAAATATATAGAAATTAGTCTGCAGAGCTTGTCAAGGCTTGTTCTTAAGTTGTTTGGTTTGAGTGTATGTGTGTGTGAGACTTTCTGATCTAAGTGCATCCTTAACCTATCGTAGTGCACTTAGAGAAAATATTATACCAATAGTATAACACTTTACCAATAGTGCCACAATATTATATCAATGGTACAACATACTTTCCACTTCCCACTTGACACGTCACACTTCCTACTTCACACCTGACACTTTCATTTCACAAAACTGTTCATTTTAGAACAGCAGAATGTCATTTACCTGTCTCCTCATCCCTGGTGCTGTTGTTGTAACTTTTACACACGTTATACAGTCCAACTTACAACGTTATTTTGCTTTAAGCAGTTTTTTGTCTTTCAAATAAATTATGACAAAGGAAAAAAGTAGTTTATGTTCACCCACTTGTAAGTTTTGTTTGAGGTCTTGCTCTAGATCATGGTCCTTACTCCTAAAGCAAGATAAGGCAGGTGCTTCAGATGGGCACCGAGGGTCTTATAGAAAGAAGTCTGCAGTCTGCATTTTGGCTGGGCCAGACCTCCAACATCTTTCAGAGTTGCTCAACTTCTAGATAATTTTCTGTTCTCCATGACAGGGCAGCTATACTTTGGTAAGCCTTGCATAGTCTCAACCTGCACATTCCGGCACAGCCCTTGGGTGAGGACTTGCGGCAAACCCCACACAGACTTATGGGAACCCCCTTCAATGTAGCTCCCTCCTCTCTCCTCTGACACTGCTCCAAGGATTCCAGTTGCTTCAGCAACCCTGAACTCTGACCTTTGCAATGAGGACTGCCTGGGGTCTAGCTCCTTACACTGCAGTCAGGGAATTGTCCCTGAGCAAAGACTTGGGGGAGATCTTGGGGATCCCTTTGTGAATTTCCCTTCCATGGGTGACTATCATTCCCTACATAACCATATCGATATTCCCCATTCCCAGGATGGTCTTACAATGTGGCTTCAACACTCCTCCTACCATTATGAGGTCTATGTTCCCTCCCCTTGAACTTGAGTAGGGGCCATGACTACTCTAGCCAATGGGACTACAACAGAAGTGACACTATGCACCGTCTGAGTCCAGGTCACAAAAAGGATACAAGTTTCATTTGCTCTCTCTCTCAATCTCTCTCTCTCTCAGAATACTCATTCTCAGGATCCAGCCACCCTATTGTGAAGAAGCCCAAAGTAGCCCACACGGGAGATTGTCTAGATAGGTCCACATGGAGAACTGAGGCCTCAAGCAGATAGCCAGCATCAACTGCCAGATACCTGAGTAAACAGCCTTCAGATGACTCCAGCCTCAGACACTGAAAAGCAGAGATCAGCTGTCTTAATGCACCCTATTTGAAATTCTGACCCACAGTATCTGTACATATAATAAGTAGTTGTTTTACTTCAGTAAGTTTTGGGATAATTTATAATGTAACCATAGTAACTGCAACACCATCTCTTAGGACTTACAGCGCTGTGTGCCTGTTGTCCAATGCTGAAAATAGTTGCTTTGCATATTTTGTCTTGTGTTATTGTTGTGGAGAGTTAAAGTCCCCAAGCCAGGACTTTAATCTGTACCTCTGTTCTCTAAAATAATGTTAAAGATAATAATAACGGGCCAGCCCATGGCATGGTGGTTAGAGTGGCTGGATCCCACATGGCTGACTGTGTGTGGTTTGAGTCCCAGACTTAACAGCTTGAAAAACACACTGGGTGTGTGTATGTGCATGCCCACTGGGAGAGAATGGAGAGAAGGGATTGCTACATGACCATCCCCAATGGGGGGTGCTTTCTTACTTTCTCTCTCTCTCCCCCCGTCTCCCTCTCCCTCTAGTGGTAACATGTGCCCTCTAGCAAATTAAAAAAATAATAATAACAGTAATGTCAATAACAACATTGAGCACCATTTTCAGTCATAGACTGATTTCTATGTATTAGGCACGGTACTAGGCATTTTACACTGATCATCTCCATGAAACCACAAGACAGTCTTGTAAAACAGGCATTGTTAACCCTCCTTGGCTAGAGAAGAAAACCAAGGTTCACAAAGGTTAAATGATTAACCCACAGTTAGCACACAGATCTGAAGCCATACAATTAATCATCTATAGAAACATGTATAGACACATATAAACATACACACATGACTGTATATATATATATATATATATATGTATGTATATATATATATACACACACACATATGCACATGCAGAGGCATACAAAGACATAGACATACAAACCTATACATTTCCAGGGCTTTTATGCTTTAACATATTTATTGTTCTTGGAGTTAAAAATCACCTCAAATAGACTGAAAGAGATTCAATATGCTAGATATTAAGTTTCCTAAGCATACCGTAAGATGAAAGTCTCTACATCTGGGGCCATCATAAGCATGGGCAACAGAAATATTGTCTGTGCTCCCTTGCTTGAGATCCGGACTTGTTGGGGTGAGAGATGGAACTCTTAAAAAAATAAAATAAAATAATGTACAAAGGTTGTGTGCATTAGCCAAAGAGCAGAGACAGAGAGGGAGGGAAAGAAAGCACCCCCCCCCCGTGGGGTGTGGCCATGCCCAAATCCCTTCTCCACTTCTCACTCCAGCCAGAACTTTGGGCATGCACACACATGTACCTGGTGTGGTTTTCAAGCCACAGGGGATGGGATTTGAACTGTGTTGGCCATGTGGGATTTGGCTCCCTTAACCACTAGGCCACTGACAGTCAAAGTGAGGCTCTTAACAAGATTAGGCTTGGTAGACAGAAACCTTCTCCTAGGGTCACCAGGACTCTGCACTTGGTGTTGTAAATTCTAAATTCAAAGAAACAATGTGATTCCTGAATATGGAAAAGTAGAGAGCACAGAGCAAGAGCCCATCTCTTAGAAGGAAAGGGGCTGAAGGAGTTGGAGTGGGAAGGCCCTTATTGAGGTGGGGTCATTTTCGACTATTCTGAAACAATGGCAGGAGGCTGACGAGTGGAAGCAATTGGCCTTCAAAGAAGCTGCTCCTCATCCTGCAGATTACTCAGATGGCCAACTATGCAGGTTCAAGTCCTGGACCTGGTGGCTTGAAAAGCATGGTGGGTGTCTGTGGGTGTGTGACCAAAATCCTTAAAGGAGAGAGAAATGGAGAAGAGATTGTGGCGTGGCCATCCCCCATGAGAGATGCTTTCTCACTTTCTGTGTTCTTCTCTGTCTCTAATGAGTGCACATGCCCTCTGGCCAATCAATCAGTCAATCAATATAAATAAATAATGCAGGGGCCAGCAGATGATCTGGTGGTAAAGGTGCTGGATTCCCACATGGCCTGACCCCTATTTGAGTCCCAGACCCGGAAGCTTGAAAATCACACTGCGCGTGTGCACGAGTGAGCAAAATCCCAGGAGGAGACTGGAGAAGGGATTGTGGCATGGCCATCGCCCCAAGGGTGTGTGTGTGTGTGTGGTGGTGGTGGTGATTTCTCACTTCCTTCTCTCCCCCCTCTCTCTCTGGCGAGTGCATGCACCCTATGGCAAAAACCTAAAAACAAACAAACAAAGAATGCATGGGGCCACTGGGTGGCTTAGTGGTTAAGGTGCTGGATTCCCACATGGCCAACTGCAGTTAGAGTCCTAGACCCAGAGGCCTGAAACTCATGGGCACATGTGTGTGTGTGTGTGTGTGTGTGTGTGTGTGCCCAAAATCCTCAGAGGAGAATAAAGAAGAAAGAATTGTGGAGAGGCCATATCCTCACCCCCATCCCTCTAAAATAATAATAATAATAATAATAATAATAATAATAATAATAATAATAATAAAGTAACGCAGACCTCAATCCTATTCTTGAGAAGAGACAAAGACACAAACAGAAATCCTTCCTTCGGGGAGACAAACAAATGATACTGTTGTGTTATTTCAATCACTATTATCTAGAAAACGTCCAAAAAATAGTCTCTTGTGCAACCTACAGTAAGAAGTGAATTCAAAATAACTTGGAAAGAGAAACCTCTAAGGTTGCTCTCCACCTCCCATCTCTCTTTTCCTAAGTTCAGTCCCAAGCATGGTTTAAAACTTCGTGGAAGCAACTCTTCAGAACATGCTCTTCTAACCCGTTTTATAGATGAAGAAACTGGCTTTGAGCAGTTGGAATGGCTCTCCCAGGCTGTGGGCAGCGGCAGCGCCGGGCCAGGAGGTCAGGAGGCCAGGGCTGGGTCAGCATCCTGGCGTCGGCAACCATCTGGGAGCTTCCACTGCCGAGGGGGGTGTCTGGTGAGTAAACTTCAAGCCTCCCCAGGTTAGACGGTGAGGGACAGTGGCTCCGTTCCACACTAGGGTGTGCGTGGGGGCTTGCCTCTCAGCTCTTGCCTCTCTGTCGAGTCTCTGTCACTGTCCCTGTCCCAGCCAGCCCGGGACAATCAGTGCGGATCCCTGTGTGGTGCAGACACTCTCGTGAGGCAGAGCGCCGCCGGGCTCTTTGTGTGCAAGTATAAATGGGGCAGAGGACAGGGGAGGGTAGTGCACAGTCGGCTCAGCGCGGACCGCCGGGTGGCCTGCCTGCTAAGTTCTGGTAGGTCTCGAGCACGCGGACCCTTCTCGCCAGGCACACGCCCCGTACCTCCGCCTCCTCGCGCAGCTCCCGGCCTACGCGCTCCGCAGGCTCGGCGTCCAGCCTCTCCCACAGCAGCAGCGGCAGGGCGCGCAGCAGGAAGCTGACACGCGCGACCATCTCGTCGCTGCCCCTGCCGCGGGGCGCGCGGGGAACCTGGAGTCGGCCAGCGGTGCCCGGGCCACCCGGGATGCGCCAGCTCTGCGCCGACGCAGCGCGGGGAGGGAAGGTCCCCGGAGCTCGCCGGTGCCTGGCTTCGAGCGCCGAGCAGCTCCTGCGCAGCGTTTCGCCCGCAGCCGGCCGGAGGTCGTCCAGACTCAGCAGTGCCTGCCGGCTGGTCTGTCCGCCCCAGACCGAGGGAGGGAGGAAGGAAGGGAGGAGAAGGAGGCGGGAGCCCGGCCTCCCGCCCCACCCACCCCGCAGCTGGAACGCGCGACGGTCCGGGAGCCTTTTCCGCCGGTCCTATGGCCTCGCCCTGCTCCCGCCGCCGCCTTTGCATACCTGATCTCTCACCTGCCACCTCCAGTTGATCCGGATCTCTCCTGGGAGGGCTGGAAAGAAAGATTCTCTCCTGAGAGTTGCGGCCACCCAGGGCGTTGGTGAAGAGAGCTCCTGGCCTGCCTGAGGGTCGTTGACTGTTTCAGCCAGGCGGGGACTGAAGCTAGCAGTGTGTGACTGAAAGAGCCTTGAACTGGGGGCAGTAATACCAGATATGAGTCCCAGATCGAACTGTTGCTTTATAAATCGCCTCTCGGCCACCTGCTGGCTGTGCGGTCTTGGGCGGGTCACTCATCCACTCTGAACCCACTTTTCTCATCAGTAAATGGAATAAAAATACCCGCCAAAGGACCAGTATATGGCATAATGGTTATGTCGTGGGACTCCCACGAAGTGGACCACGGTTGGAACCCTGGGCCCAAGATCTCAAGAGGAGAATGAAGGAGTAGGGATTGCCCGGTTACCATTCCCTCTGGGGGTGATTTCTCATTTCTCTCTCCAGCAAGCATGCACGCCCTATAGCAAAAATCTCTCTCCGAAAAAAAAAAAAACACCCACCCATATCATGTGATGTTGGCCGTTGGGAGGATTTGATGACATTATAATGCCCGTAGGACTATAGCGCAGTGCTAATACAACTGAACACTCTGAACCAGATCTGGGGTTTGCAGTCCAGACCTCCCTGAGCAAGGGCGGCAGGAGCCTGAGCCCCTGAGCCCATAGGTGGACAATGGCATGAAGACTCGGTTGGGATGCCTCTCTCTCTCTCAGGAAAAAAAATGAATAAACTTAAGAAAATAATGCCAGTAAATAACTGAGCAGGATGCCTGGCATCATGGGTATACACTTAATAAATAGTAGGCTGCAGCTGTGTGTCCTTTGGCAAAGAATTTAACTACTTTGAGTGTCAGTTTCCTCCTCAATAAAATGAGAACATATGCTATTTAGTTTTCACAGGTGCATGAAGATGGAAAGAAAAAGAGCACCTGGTTTTATATATCTCATACAATCAGAAAAAATAAAGTAAAAGCAAAAAGGTATTTGTTTTCTTTTACTTTTATTAAAAAATTATTTTATTTATTTATTTATTTTTAATTTGACCAGAGAGGGACAGAGAGAGAGAGAGAGAGAGAGAAAGAAAGCAAAGTAAGAAAGCAAGCCACCAGGTCTGATACTCAAGACACGATCTGCCATGATCTGCCATGTGGGAGTGCAGCATCCTCAAGCATCATGCTGCCTGCCAGCCCCTTGTTTTTACGTGAAAGCCTTTGCTGAATTCCTACTGAGTATAAACAAAACAAAACAAAACAAAATTGTTTTTACTATCTGCCTTTTTTTTTTTTTTTTTGAGAGGTTTTTGCTGTAGGGAGTCTGCGTTCGCCAGACAGAGAAACAGAAAGCAAGAAATCACCCCCCGGGGGGATGGCCATGCTGCAATCCCTTTTCCTCCATTCTCCTCTCAGGATCCTGGGCACGCACGCACATGCGCCCTGTGTGAGTTTTAAGCCACCGGGTCCGGGACTTGAACCGCGGTCAACTACATGGGAGTCTAGTAACATAGTCATTATGCTAACTGCTGGTCCCATTATCTGCCTTTTTAACTGAGAGCAGGTTTTATCTCTTTTCTGGCCTGAAATCACTAATCTGTCAAATGTAAATGAACAATGACACCAACCTCTGGGCATCATTGTGGGATTAGATGAGTTAATGTGTGTAAAAATAATTTGGAGTTTATAAAATGATAAACAAAAGTAATGCAATGTTTTAATCCTAAGGCTCAGGGCCTCAGAAGCACACAATGTTTTTGTGCTATTTAGAAAAAAAATGTCAGTTGGGTGGAGGAATTGGAAAAAGTTCTTTGAATAGACATCTTAGAAACAGGCATTCTTTTGGGGAGGTTAATTGGAAACAGGCCCCCCTTGCCTTCCAATCAACCAATGAAAAAGAAGCACCCACCCTGGGTGAACCAATTAGACATAGGCACTCCTCTCGGCAGACCAATGAGAAAAAGGCATCCTTCTATAGTGAAGCCATCCTCAGTCCAGGAATCTGATGGGAGTGTACAGTTGAGGATGGATTTCGTTGCCCCTCCATACACTCTCCCTTGTGCACATCTGTAAGAAACATCCCTGCCTGACGAGGTGCCCCAGAGGTGGTGGAGGTGGCCTGGGCCTTGCTCTCAGAGAGCTTCCAGCCTAGCTTGGCATACTAGACCCTTTCTCAGCTAAGGGCAGAATGGATTAATATGGCTGCTGTTTCAAGCATGGTCTTGCAGGACCTGGGGGAGGGTGATTCTGAAGGGGAGTGAGATAGGGTTGCTAGATTAGGTAATAAAAATATAAGATGCCCCGGTTAAACTTGAATATCAGATTAATAATGAATAATTTATTTTCTTTCTTTCTTTTAGTTTTATTTATTTATTTTTGTCATAGGACATATATACTCACAGGAAGAAAGTGAAAAATCCCCCTCTCCTCCTAGGAATGACCACACGGTAACCCCCTTGGGATTTTGGGCATACATGCACATGTACCTGGCATGAGTTTTAAGACACTGGGTCTGGGACTCAAACCGTGATCAACCATGTGGGAGTCCAGTGCCTTAACCACTATACCAACTGCTGGCCCCTAGCATCTTAGTTTTAGTTTTAGTTTTTATTTTTTAGAGAGATTTTTGCTATAGGGTGCATTCTATAGCAAAGAAGAAATGGAGACAGATAAAGTGAGAAATCACTTCCCATGGGGGATGGCTGTGCTACAATCCCTTCTCCTCCATTCTCCTCTTGAGATTTTGGGCACATGTGCACACACACACCAGCTGTGAGATCCAAGCCACTGGTCCAGGATTGAACCAGGGTCGACTGTGTGAGAGCCCACGGACATAACCATTATGCCATCTGCTCATCCCAGCATCTCACTTTAAAAAAATATATACATATTTATTTATCCATTCATTTATTTATTTATTTTTAATTTGACCAGAGTTAGACACACACACACACAGAGGGAAAGTGAGAAAGCGAGCCACCAGGTCCAGGACTTGAACCGTGGTCGGCCATGTGGGAGTGTCCAACTCCTTAACCACCATGCCACCTGCTGGTCCCAGCATCTCAGTTTTTTAAAAGTTTATTTATTTTCTGTGAATGAGTGAGAGAGAGGGACAGTACTCCAACAGGGTCCTGATACCATGATCTACCAACAGCTTCAGTCAGCCCTGGATCGTGAGCTGCACATGTCCAGTATACTCAAAGAGGTCTCTGGTTGTGAACCTGGAACTTTCTCATGTGAGTCAGCCTTGGAGAGCTTGGTGTTTTACTGCTGTACCAGCCTCAGCATCCTTATTTTAAAGATGGGAAATTGAAGTACAGAGAGATTATATCATTTGTCCAAGATTACAAATTTAGTAATGGAGCCAGTAAGGCAAACCTGGGTAGTACAGCTCCAGATCTTGGGACCTTAAACACTGCACTATCTTGCCTCAAGGGAAATTTATAAAATATGTTTCTTGAGTCACCTGCATTGAATCACCTGAAGATATTTGTTAAAAATTCAGATACTAGGGACCAGCAGATGGTGTAGTCGTTACGTTGCTGAACTCCTATATGGCCAACTGTGGTTCGAGGCCCAGACCTGATGACTTGAAACTCATGCTGGGCATGTGTTCGTGTGTGCCCAAGATCTCAGCAGGAGAATGGAGAAGAGATTGTGGTGTGGGAATTCCCTCAGAGGGTGATTTCTCACTTTTCCTCTCATCGTCTCTGTCTCTCTCCAGTGAGTGCATGTCCCCTAAGGCAAAAGCCTCTACCAAAAAAAAAAAAAAAAAAAAAAAATTCAGGTAGTAGGCCAGCAGGTATTGTGGCAGTTAAGGTGGCTGGATCCTACATGGCTGACTATGCTGTTTGAGTCCTAGTTGTGGTAGCTTAAAAAATCACATGGGGAGGCAGGTGGTGTGGTGTTTAAGGTGCTAGATTCCTATATAGGTGATTGTGGTTCAAATCCCAGACCTGGCAGCTTGCATTCTCTCTGTCTCTCTTTCTGTTTCTCTCTGGTCAAATAGAATAAGAAGGAAGAGGAGAAGAGATGAAATAAAATAAATAATTCTTAAAAAAATAGGGACCAGCAGATGGCGTAATGGTTACATTGCCATTGCTGGATTCCAATGTAGTTGACTGCGGTTCGAGTCCCAGACCCAGTGACTTAAACTCATTCTGGGCGCCTGTGCGTGTGTGCCCAAGATCCTGAGAGGAAAATGGAGGAGAAGGGATTGTGGCTTGGCCATCTCCCCTGGGGAGGTGATTTCTCGCTTTCTGTTTCTCTCTCTCTGTCTTTCTGGCAAGTGCATGTGCCCTATAGCAAAACTTCTAAAACAAACAAAAAAACACACTTGGGGGGGCCAGCAGGTGGTGTGGTTGTTAGAGGAGGAGAAGAGATGAAATAAAATAAATATTTTTAAAAATTACACTGGGGATCCAGCAGAGGTTGTGATGGTTAAAGCACTTATTTATTTTAATTTGACCAGAGAGGGAGGGAGAGAGAGAGAAAGCGAGAAAACAAGCTGCCATGTCCAGGACTTGAATTGTGGTTGGCCATGTGGGAGTTCAGCGTCCTTTACCACCATGCCACCTGCCAGCCCTGACTGACCATGGTTTGAGTCTCAGAACTGGCAGCTTGATTTTTCTCTCTCTCTCTGGTCAAATAAAATAATAATACATTAAATTAAATTAAATAATTATTTTTTAAAAATCACACTGGGCATGTGTGCATGCATGTCCAAAATCCCGAGAGAATGGAGAAGGGACTGCAGTATGGCTACTCCTTTGGTGGTGTGGGGGTGTGATTTTTCACTTTCTTC